TACTGGTCAGAGTGTTTTGTCACAGCAATGAAGAATCAAACCATGACAGACACCATCTCCCCAGATGGATGTCCAGCTCCCAGGCCTTAAGGTGGGTAAAGAGGTAGGCATTAGTGTGTTACAGATCTGCTCCAGAACCTTCCATATCCTCCCCATGTCCTTGCCATTGATCTACCCCTCTGTGTAGATCAGGCTGTGTTTGTAAGTGCATCCTTACTATCTCTATTATCACCTCAATGAGCATGTGTCCACCAAAGGAAATTTCCTTCCTAACCTAGTTCTGCTTCCCTTTACATATTTCAGAATACTCCTCCACTACCCTGAGCAACATCAACTGCAGCCTCTCTGGGAGATTCTGCTAGTAGGAGATCCCAACAAGCATGAGTGCAGTTTCAGGGGTGACCTGTGATCACAGAGTCCAGTGTAACCCAGGGAGTCACCCAGACTGAGCACAGCCCCAAGACGCCCCTCACCATGGACACTGCCAAGTATGTATTATGTGACTGGAAAGGCCAGTTGTGGCCTGCAAGGGTGCTGTCCGGATCCGGGACTTCAGACCAAAGCCAGCGGAGACGGACATCTTTTCTTGAGATTCAAATTCTCCCTGTGGGTGAGAAACTGAGAGTGAAGAGCACAGACGTGAGGCCCCTGACCAAGTCTGAAATTGAAAACATCACCTCCTTGGGAGGGACGGAGTCCCGGGGCACTGCCTCAACACAGGAGGCCAATGCATACAGAAGAGCCCTCAAGGTGGCACTGGAAGTGCTGGGTGAGGGAACAGGCTTGGTCCGAGGAGGAAAGACACGTGGCAGACCGACCTCCACCGTGGCATCCCCACAGGCTCTGAAAGAGCCAGCCAGCTCCTGCCCTCACCTCCAAGGGAGGAATCAGAAAGGTCAAGGGCATTTCGGGAGGAGTCCTGGGAAGAGAAGACACCCTGATTCTGTGTCGGTGTGCTCAGAGAACGAAGGTACAATGCAGAGTCCCAAATCTCAGGCACACACAGCAGTTTGGCCTCATCCTCCTCCTGAAATGCAAGTAAAGATCCTAAGGGGCACCAGCATGTGGCCATGTGACCTGATACCAACAGCAGCTGCTGGTGAACCACAGAGGAAGAGAAAGAGGAAAGCTTCAAGACTCAAATCTCTGAGTGCCCCCATCTACACGGAACGAACCGGGACCAAGCGTAAAAGGCAGGTTCCACCTGGGCCGCAGCGGCATGTCTCCACCTTGCCCAACCACGAACCATCATATGCCCCCCTGGAGATCCCGGCCCCTGGAGCTCGTAGGAAGCCCAGCCTCCCAGAGAAGACAGAGGAGCCTGGCCCGGTTGCTCCAAAGTCAGCGTCAGAAGGGGCAGCAGCAGCCTCGATGCCTCCGATCCCAAGGCTGAGAAGATCACGCCGTATTGCTGGTAGAAAAAGGAGGCTCCAGATGCTGTGTGAGAAATGCCGGCTCCCAGCACTCGAACCTCAGGTCTCCTCAAAGGTGGTCAGCACCAGGGACCAGAGGAGAGGAGCCAGAGTTCCACAAGACGGACAAGCCACGAATGTGACTTCTGCCCAGCAGCCAAACACCATTGAAAGAGGAGCATTGGTCTGGTTTCAGTTTCAGGATCTGCCGTTTTGGCCTGCAGTGGTCAAGAGTGTCAGCAAAAGCAACAAGATGGCCAGGGTGCTGTTGATCGAGGCAGACATGCCCTTAGAGCACAGGGGCATCCGTGTCCCTCTCCGCAGGCTGAAGCACCTGGATTGTGAGGAGAAAAAAGCCCTCTTGAGGAGAGCCAGCAAAGCCTACAGCCAGGGTGTCAGCTGGTGCTTCTCAGTGATTGACCACTACAGACAGGGCATTGCTCAGGGCTCCTTCCTGAACACTTTCCTGGACTACTACACCAGCCAAACCAGTTACCCATTAAGGAAGGCCATCCAAGAGGGCAACCTGCACATCGACTTCCCAAAGGTGAGTTATGCAGAACTGGAGGAGTGGGAGGAGGAGAGCTCCCTGGGCGGGAGCAGGCTCTGCAAAAAACTCCTGCCTGACCGCATGAGGGCCACTCGTGACAGACACAATCAGAAGCTCGTCGACTTCATTGTGAAGAGAAAGGGGGCTGACCAGCACCTGCTGGACATCATGAAGGGCAGGAAGCAGTCCAGATGGCTCTCTAACCTTTCGAAAGAAAAGAGGCAAGTGTTGTGCATTGAGACCTACCTGGAGGACGATGACCAGCTGCATCTGGTGGGCAAGCATCTACAAGAACTCTGCAAGCATGCAGACGAGAACCTACTCACCCTGACAGGGGGAGACAAAGTGAGGCTCACGATGGAGGTTCTTCTTCCAGAAGCCATTATTTGTTCCATCGCTGCCCTGGATGAGCTCAACTACCAGGAGGCAGAAGAAAAATACCTGCGTGGCCCACCTGTGAGGTACCGTGAGAAAGACCTTTTTGACAAGACTATCTTAAAGACAGCCAGGAAGAGATCAGCAGCCGGCAGAGCCTCTGCCAGGGCTCCTCCTCCACCCACTCCTTAGAAGGGAGTTGCTTCCTTTCTGCCATCACTCCCTGCAGCTCCCCAGACGACCTGCAAGAAGCACCTTCAAAAAGTAGTATCTGGGAGAGAGAGTGTGAGGGTTGCTACTGGCACCGTGAAACCTCCTTATGCTTTTCCTTCCCAATCCAAATAAATGTTCAGTTCATGCTTGATGGTGCACATGTCCAGATGTGGGTCTTTTAAAAATTGAGCAAGCTCACGTTATGCCTAGGCCTCTTTGGCCTGTGCCAGAGAGTGCAATTCCCGTGTCTCCCCCCTCTGGAACATCACCAAGCCTGGGTAAGGTATTAGGCACACATGGCCTTGTGTTCTCTGCACAGGACGCCACTATCCAGACAACGCACTAGGTTCCTGGCGACACTGTGTCTCTGAGTCTCCCAACCTTCCCATCCTCTGCTCTCCCCAACAGTATCGCTGGAGCCTGGGTTCTACTGTATTCTCGACTGCCTCGTTCGTTCCCTCCGTCACAGTGAAGGAGAGGAAGACGTGTGAGGCTTCAGCCTGTGCTTGGAAGACAAACTTCGGATGTCACAGATCGGAATGGAAGTCTTTGAGCCAGGGGACAGCTGATTTCAAAGGCAAGGGTATGATATCTTATCACTGAGTGGGCTAGACTGACTGTTCAGCACCCCCTGTTGATCCTCCTGCTTCTGGGTCCTCAGAGCAGAGATTATAGGTGTCTTACTTTCCTTTTCTTTTTCTTTTTTCTCTTCTAATGAGTACTGGGAATTGGATTCAGGCCCTGACCCTGTGCAAGGAGCATTTTACCCACTCAGCCATCATCTGCTCCCCAGAGACTTCCTACTTTTAATGAGAGAGGTCTGCCAGCCTCACGGGTTGACTGTCTACAGCAGAGAGCATTATACCAGCTTATCATATTTGTGACATAGGAGATGTGTGGTGGTTGGAGTAAAGAAGGGAATCTGGTGTCCTAAGAGGTCACTAACACCTAGTGTGTGCTGAGGAGAGGCAGCTGTTCTGGGAGGCTACATGCTCCCAGAAGTTCCTGTCCTATTCTTCCTAGGATCACAGTGGCTGATTGTGTTGAGAATTTGGACAGCAATGGACTCCCAGTGGGTGCGGGGTTGGGGAGGCTCTGAAGTGCCTCCGTGGTCAGCTCCCAAGTCCATTCTCCCAGTGCCCTATGCTGAGCTGCTGTGAGATGTCCATATGTCCCTAGCCCGCATCTCTGGATTGAGAATACCTTTTTCCATCTTATTTCATGGGAGAATGCTAAACCTCTGGCCCGGACACTATTTGATGCCTGTCCTTTCTGCATAGAGTGCTCACACACCATGCCCCTCCCCTATCTCTGTGTATGGAGGCAACCAGATAGGTGTGGAGCCCCGAGACCCGGAGAGCAAAAGAACATCTGCATTTTGAACACCTAGGATTCCCTGAACCCAAATCCTGGCACAGGCAGTCTCTCGCATCTCTCCATTTAAGGAGCGACCTCGTCGGTCCTGGAGACCCTGCCAAAACCTCAGCCAAGGCAGCTTCTGCCAGAGATGCTACTTGCCTCGGGCAGCATCCACCCTGCTTATTTTCCTCTCAGTGGGACTCATGACTAGGGGAAATGTGACTAGTGGGGGAGGAATGGACTTTTGTTTGGGTGGAAATAGCTTGTATTCGGTGAGCTGCAGAACTTGGCTCACATGGACACGCAGGAACTGTGCTAAGACACATGAGTGGTACATGATAAACTTGGAGGCGGGGAACAGAACAGAATGCAGTACAATAGGGGAACTCACCGACACGAAGCACTGTGCTGCCGCAGGAGATCCAATGATCCGCGTCCTACGGGGGAGTCTCCTTCAGGTTTGGGTAACATCAGCTGCCATAAAGGAGACAGAGACAGACAGAGAAACTGCTTCAGCATAATACTCAGTTCCTGGGATGAAGAGCCAGGGGAATGGGATACAAGTGTGACATATGGTCTTTTGTGTGAGACCACCCATTCACCTCTGGACTCTGTTTCTTTGGAAAGCAGTGAGGACAGATCTAAAGCCAGGGCTGTGCTGGTGACTTGGTGCTGACATCTTTCAGAATCCTCTTTCTGACTCTCATCTGACTGGACATAAGGGGCAACGAATTGTAGAAGACTGACAAGCTGAAATGCCTTCTTACAAACGTAGCTCCGAGTTCCCGACTGAACGATGTATTCATGCTCACTATGTGTTGGGAAGCTGGGGAACAGATGAAATATACATAACTAATCACAATTTAAATCAGTAGTAGATCAACCAGGCATAGAATCTTGCTTATTACTTAATGCACTAATATCACAAAACATCGGAGGTACCTGGGTGACCAGTTTACTAGTGATACCTAGACAATCAAATTATATCCAGAAAGTTGAGGAATCCATATTCCCAAATGTGAATGCTTCTTGCTATATGGGAAAATTTGTTTGTGGTCCAGGAAAACATTGTACCCATAGTACTGGCTTTTAACAGATTTTTATAAAATCAAACCTAGGTTGCCGTTTCTAAGAGCTACAGCAAGTTAATACTCTCCATGACCATCATTCCCCAGGTGACTGCCTTGTACCCTGTCTCTGAAGAAAGTGATAAGGGGCTGGAGAGTCAGCTCAGAGGTTAAGAGCTGCTAACTGCTCTTAACCTGTTACTCAATCCGGAGGCCTGGAGTTCAGATCCCAGCACCCAGGTCAGGCAGCTCACAAACAGCTGTACGTCCAGCTCCAAGGGATCTGACCCTCCTCTTCTGGCCTCTGATGCCACTTACACACATGCATGTGCATACAGAGAGAGAGAGAGAGAGAGAGAGAGAGAGAGAGAGAG